ATAACCATCCAATAGTTATGCCGACAGAGGCGCTCCCCTGGCAAAATTTTGGGTTCCCTGGCAAAATTTTTGGGGGGCCCCCTGATAAAATGTATTGTATAATAAAAAAAGAAATCCTTGATTATATAGCTTCATGCTGTCAATAATGCAAAAATTCTGTGGAATATATGCTTTGCTGGTCATCTGTGTGAAACCTAAAATCTTGTTCGCTTATTTGCGGCACAAATCTTGCAACACACACCTTTCCTAACCCTAATTATTTCAGTATGCATTAAATGAGGGTTAGATGAAGTTTAAAACAATCTGTTTTGCTTACAAGTGAATTTCAATGCGAGCTCGGCAGTGACGCCGTGGCCGGGGGAGGGGAGACCCGTCGGAAAATTGAGACCCGTCTGAAAATTGTCAAGAGAGTTTGAGCAAGACAACGAAGTACGAAGACGAAGGCGTACTTGCCAAATTTTGCCGTCTGCACATTATCTTGCGCATACTGAGTTGGACGTCACTGGTGGTTGCTCAACGTGTCTTCCGATGTGTCGCTGTTTATGCATACTGACCCTAATTCTTGCCCTGACCCAGAAAAATACAGCGAGACATGAAACTATATCCAGTCTTTGTCCTTCTGCCTTCGTTCGGAACGAAGTTCACAACGAATTTTGCCAAAATATTCGTTGTGAACGACGGCAGAAGAACGAAGACGAGATATGGAATCATGTCTCGCTGTTTTGTCCAGATCAGGATCAGGATTTGGGTCAGCATTCATAAACAGCTAGACATAAATCTATAATCTGTCTTCACCCCTGGCCCTAAACTCAGAATGCGTAAGATAATGTGCAAGACTCCCTGACCTCATTCGACCATCTCCTGAAAGAAAAGGCCGCCTTAAACGCCAATATGCATCGTCATAAGAGGAATCAAATGCAAAATTCTCCAACTAACACAACGCATTTCTCGAAACCTAATTACCGGCGCAATCAGGCCGCCTTAAACGCCAACATGGATCGTCATAAGAGGAATCCAATGCATAATTCCTCAACTAACAGAACGCATTTCTCGAAACCTAATTACCGGCGCAATCAGTTTTCCGAGCCTAAACATCAATATCGTCAAGCAAATTTTCCCTCGAAGATTTTTTCGAAGCGGTCGCTATCGAAGGATTCCGAAACCAAGAACAACAGCAGACAATACAGATACAAGAGCAAGTCAAATCAACCCGGCATACAAAGTGAATCCTTTCCAATCAAAGTCAGAGTTACAGCTTGGAGAAACGGAGTCCTGGGAAGCTTACCTACAGCTGGTCAACCGCACCTTGGACCAGTTTGGAACCCTCGTTTAGGCGCAATCCAACGGACAAGTGATAATTATACATCTCAGAGAAGTGTAAATTTTAATAATTTAATTAACATTAAGACTAATACAAACCCCACCATTGGAAAGTCCTCAGTCCCGTCCTTCCTCTTGTCAAATGTATGCCATATAACAAATAAGGTAGACGAATTAGCTGCTGTTGTATCGATCTATGACCCATCCGTGGTAATGATAACTGAATCTTGGCTAAGTGATGATATCGGTGATTCCTCGGTTAAGATCGGTAATAAATACAACATATTTCGTCGCGATAGAAAGTCTCCTGGCGGTGGAGTGATCGCCTACGTGAATAATTGTTTACCAGCAGAGCGTATGACTCACCTCGAAGAAGAAAACAAAGAAGTGATATGGTTGTTGTTAAAACCCCCCAGAACCCCTAGACCTTACAGTACAATCGTTGCTGCTGTTGTGTACTACCCTCCTGGTCAATCCGCCGAACAAGCAATCGATATGAATGAATACTTAACTACTTGTATAGATAGTCTCTTGCGCGAACGTCCTTCATCTGGAATTGTTATAGCTGGGGACTTCAATCAACTAAAATTAAGAGAACTTGTAACAGATTTAATTTAAAAAGATCTGTAACTAAACCGACTAGAGGACACAACATTCTTGATCAAATCCTTACAAATATGCTCCCTCTCTTTGACACTGTTAGCCATCTCCCCCAATCGGACGCTCCGACCACCAATGTCTTCTAATCAAGCCCATTAAAAGACAGAAAACTCCGGTTACGTCAAAAAAAATTAGATTGATGAAACGAGAAAATTTAAATGACCTCTCCCTGAATATGGCTTCTGAAGATTGGACTACTGTATATTCAGCACTGGATGTGGATGAGAAAGTATCAGCTTATAACTCCATTATAATCAAGATGCTTGACGAGTTCTTACCTGAAAAAACCATGGATGCTCAAACAATACCACGAAGACCTAGCTCCTGTGGTTTATGACATTGTGTGCTGTAGTATAAGTCAATGTTGTTATCCATCACTCTACAAACATGCCCTAATTTCCCCTGTTCCTAAAGTGCAACCACCGAGAGACATTAACAATGATTTCCGCCAGATATCAGTCTTACCCCATCTTGCCAAGATCCTGGAAAAGATCCAGCTCCAGTTAAATATTGAAGATCTGAAAATTAAGAATAACCAGCACGCGTTTATTCAACATCGAAGCACAGTCTCTGCGTTAATATCAACTACCCAAACCTGGTTTAATGCCACTGATTGTTCAAAAACAGGCAAAATGGGGGTTCATGCGGCCTTCATTGACTTTCGTAAGGCCTTCGACCTTGTGGATCACAATATTCTTTTGAACAAATTAGCAGCTATGAACATAAATAAACCCTTCTGGTTATGGATTAAAAGTTTCCTTTCCGGAAGAGTTCAACAAGTAAATCTCAATGGTACCTTATCATCCATTGCAACATGCCCGGCCGGAGTCCCGCAAGGCTCTGTAATATCTCCCATTCTTTTTAATACCTACATTGATGATTTGGAGGACGCCTTACCAGAACAACTAAAAGTCAGTACGAATAAGTATGCAGATGACTGCACACAACACCAAATAGTGAGCGTAGATTCTAATAGTAATTTACAACACTCTATCAATGAAGTAAATAACTGGGCGGTGTTAAATAAAATGGCAATTAATGCTAAAAAAACTAAGGACATGTGGATCTCTTTCACGGACGCTATACCTGAACCACCACGTCTTCGTATTGGAAATGAGTTAATAGAAAGGGTCAACGCTTTTAAATTACTTGGCGTGTCGTTCCAAAATAATCTAAAATGGAACGCACATGTTGAAGAGATTACACGTAAAGCAAATAAACGCCTTTACCATCTTAGAGAATGCAGGAAATCGCAGTTACCAGCTGAAGTCGGTATTATTACCTATCAATCCAAAATAAGACCAATTCTCGAGTATGCATCACCTGTCTGGGCGGGACTGCCTAATTACCTGCGAGATGAAATAGAGCGGGTTCAATCCAGGAGCTTAAGAATCCTTGGCCTGGAAAAAGATTACCTACCACCGCTGAACGAAAGAAGGGAAGAGGCAACTAGTCGAGAAGTTGATAGGTTTATGAACGATCCAAACCATCCCTGTCGCAGTGTTTTGCCAAAATTAATTAACAATCGGTACTATTTAAGGAACATTGACCGGAATCGCAATATATCATTCTTCTCAGGAACTGAAAGGCATAAACATTCTTTTTCAGGAAGAGCTTGTAAATATGTATAAATAATTTTAACTTATTGGAAGAACTTATTAGTTTAAAGAACTTATTAGTTTTAACTTCTTAGTTAGTTTTCTAAGTTATCTTACAACAATTTGTAATATAAAGACATACCCACAGCATATATACTTTCTTAAACAAGTAATTGTAAGTCCATTGTACTTTTTTATCTTAAGATGGATGAATAAAGCTATTATTATTATTAAGACAGGCAAAAATTGTCAACCACGTCGTCGTCGTCCGACTTCGTTCTCTTGCTCAAACTCTCTAATGTTGTCGGAATCTTCGTGGTGAAGCATCGGAAAAAGTGATACGGAAATCGGGAAAAGTGCTACGAAAGCAATTGTAATGTCATTGTCCAGAAAAATTTTTTACCGAAAAAGTCGTCGACGGGGGAGAGGGGAGGGGGAGATTTAAAATGTTGTGTGGTCCGGAAATTTTTTTCTTGCGCGAACTTTGCGTCTCGACTCTCGAGTCACTGGCGGATTGGCCCCACCTGGGTTTTTGCTGGCCCCCTCTGACCAAAAATCCTGGCTACGCCTCTGTATGCCGAAGACAGTCAACGGCATAACCATGCATTCCAGTTGAATGGTTATGCCGAGGACAGTCAACGGCATAACCATTCGAGTTAGATGTTTATGCCGTTGAATATGTTCGGCATAAACATTCAACTTAGATGTTTATAGTCGTTGGATATGTTTGATTGGTTATGCGGTCACTTATGCCGAAGACAGTCAACGGCAGAACCATCCAAGTTGAATGGTTATGCCGAAGACAGTCAACGGCATAACCAATGAACTTAGATGTTTATATAACCATTCAAACATGCTCAACGACATAAACATCTAAGTTGAATGTTTATGCCGAAGACAGTTGACGGCATAACCATCCAAGTTGCGTGGTTATGCGGTTGAGTGTCTTCAGCATAACCATTCAAGCTAATCAAACATATTCAACGACATAAACATCTAAGTTGAATATTTATGCCGAACATATTCAACGGCATAAACATCTAAGTTGAATGTTTATGCCGAACATAAGTTGAATGGTTATGCCGAAGACAGTTGACGGCATAACCATCCAAGTTGCGTGGTTATGCGGTTGACTGCCTTCGGCATAACCATTCGAACGTATTCAACGGCATAAACATCTAAGTTGAATGGTTATGCCATTGACTGTCTTCGGCATAACTATTCAAACATATTCAAAAGGATAAACATCTATATTGAATGTTTATGCCGAACATGTTCAACTGCATAAACATCTAAGTTGAATGATTATGCCGTTGACTGTCTTCGGCATAACCATTCAACTTTGATGGTTATGCCGTTGACTGTCTTCGGCTAACAATTCAAACATATTCAACTGCATAAACATCTAAGTTGAATGTTTATGCTGAACATAAGTTGAATGGTTATGTCGAAGAAAGTCAACGGCATAACCATCCAAGTTGAATGGCTATGCCGTTGAGTTTCTTCGGCATAACCATTCAACTTGCATGGTTATGCCGTTAGCTGTCTTCGGCATAACCATTCAAACATATTGAACATCATAAACATCTAAGTTGAATGTTTATGCCGAACATAAGTTGAATGGTTATGCCGAAGACAGTTTTTAACTCTTTTTGTTAATTTTTATCGATAATTTTTTAAAGAAATTTCAAAACTTTTTGCCAAAAAAATTGAAGATCCTTTCTACGAATCAAAATATTTTTGACTGTCTTCGACATAACCATTCAAACATATTCCGCGGCGTAAACAGCTAAGTTGAACATTTATGCCGAACATATTCAACGGCATAAACATATCTAAGTTGAATGGTTATGCCGCTGAATGTCTTCAGCATGACCATTCAACTTGGATGGTTATGCCGTTGACTGGTTTCAGCATAACTATTTAGTACTCTCTATGGTCGCTGAGGAATACGTAGCTGGGTGTTTTCTAAAACCAGCATTATCAGTTGAAAAACTTTGACCCACAACAGTTCGATACATTACCTGGCTTGAATACCACCTATGCTCTTATTAGCATGCTACATAAATGGAACTGCGACACTGATGGTAATAGTGCAACAGTGAGGATTGTATTATTTGATTTCAAAAAGGCCTTCGATCTGATCATCGATCATAATATTTTAATAACGCCCCCCTCGAAGTTGTCCCACATGCCAAAATCCTGGGCCTGAATGTATTCGACAACTTAAAATGGAATTATCATGTTAGCGAACTCGTTAAAAAATCTTCAAAAGGATTGTAGATCTCGAAACTATTCAAAGGCCAGCAATGCGAATCATCTACCCAACAGAATCTTAAGGCCCGTTTACACGGCCGATTTTTGCTGCGATTTTTGCTGGGATTTTAGTTGCGATTTTCTCCTTTTGGAGGAGTAGATTACTTAATGATGTTGCTATGAGATTTCATAACCTGGAACATTTATAACTGATCTACTCCTTCGCATCCTCCAAAAGGAGAAAATCGCAGCAAAAATCGTCCGTGTAAATGGGCCTTTACGAATATGCCTTATTATTATGAGGTCCAACCTCTCTATTCCTACGGCGCCAACAGATCACCAATAAAGTCTTCCTAAATATTATGAACGATGATGCACACAAATTACACGAACTATTGCCTGCTAAAAGCAATATCTCACTTAATTTGCGAAAAAAGACGAAATTCACAAATCAAAGAGTAAATACGAACCGTTTTAGAAATAGTTTTATCATCAGTAATTCAATTAAGGCATAATTAACAATAGTATTAGGCAATCTAAGTCTAAACACGATGCGTTTAGGAACTGTTTTAAACACGAATCGTTTTAGAAATAGATTTTTACCGTAACCTAATGAAGGCATAATTAGCAATGGTGTTTTCTAATTAGTACATATATAATGCATAGTGGAATTCTTGTACATATAATAGAAGTCCTTGTTTTGAGATCCTTTTTTGTAAATTCTTGTAAATTTTACTTAATTCAGCTTATGGCTGCAATGTAAGCTTCAATGAACTATCTATCCATACTTTTGGTGAGCTTGCTGGTGTCTAGAATGTCCATCGTTTTCGATCTAAAGAAGGGCAAGAAATATATTGAAGGAAGATTAATTGCAAGGAAGATTAATTGCAAGGAAGATTAATCACGCGGGAATAGACTGAGATTTCCCGCCACATTTCTATAAATTGACAACTTTCTCTGCTATTTCATTCCAAAATTAAACTGAAAGTTCGTTTCAGAGAACGCAGAAAGTCTGTCATGGGTATTCAAGACATTGTAAATATTTACTTTCAGAGAAACTTTGCAAACATCACAGTTATTATTGCATTCCTTAAAAATGGAAATCATCCAGCCGGACAGAATTCGCTGGAAATCACAAAACTTGTGCATGTGCTGTCATTACCTTGTCGGTTCTTACGGAACCTCATTTCGTTAGATATTTGTGAACTTTGCTTTTTTTGTGTTGCCTTGCATACAGACGTTCTATAAAATAAAAACATTGAATTTTTTATACTTTTATAACTTTCACAATAATTTCTCCTTTCAATATTAAACTGAATAAAAAACTGTAATTTAATATGAAGCAAAACATTGTCAGTTTATCCCCGAGCCAACGGCGCGGAGCGCCGCGTTCCGGGCGTTTGCCCGGGGCGAGGGTACTAATTCCGCCTGGCTATTTACACCAAGTCTAAAGTTCAACAAATATCACGAGCGCGGTTCATGGGTGTATGGGCGGACATTTCACTGATCTCAAAATATGGCTGTTTGCCAGGAGTGAAGAAGGGAAAAATATAAAAAATACATGTAAGAAAGTTTTGGATAATCCCATAACAAATTGTAAAACTTTTTTCAATTTTTAAACGTAAATATTTATAAGAATTGATTTAGTATGAGAAATCCTGAAGTATAGCCATAGGGCAATTTTGTTTCAATTGTTTATGTATGACTTTGTATTTGATTATAGACTTTGTTCTTGTTGTCGAAGTCTTTCCTATGCATTGTATGCGAAAGTTTCTTAGTTAAATTAACTTTTTTAGAAGTTCATGATAAAAAGGAAAGCAAATTATTTTCATCAGCGTCCTGTACGAAGTAAATTTATTTCATTTCAAAGTGCGAGTAATAAGTTGAAGTGATTAATAACGGCAAAAAGCCGTTAATTTCAATTCACATTTAAAAGCGTTTTTAATACGTAGAGTTTCGTTTCGAATTTTACATTAAAATAAAGCCCATAGAAACCAAAATAATATACCTACTTTATATAGGGCGTTGTGAAAACCCAGAATGCCGGAATATCACGGAATATGGCGGAATATCACGGAATATGGCGGAATATCACGGAATATGCCGGAATATCACGGAATATCACGACATTTTCCCGGAATATACCGGAACATCACAATATTTTCCGATTGTAGCCAATGCGACTTTTATAAACATGAACGTCTGACAACATATTTTATTACAAAAGTGATGTATCTTTCTCATTTTGACGGTAAGTAACAAACAATAACTCTATACTGGAAGTTTTATATGTTGTTTATATCATTATTACGAGTGTTCACCAAAAATTTTGAATCAATATGATTAATTCCTCCTGAGTTACAGCGTCTTGAAAAACAAAAGTGCTGACGTCAGCATTATTTTCGAACGCCTTCAGAACTGTGTTAATTATAAAGGCCCGTTTACACTTGCAATTTTGCTTGCGATTTCTAGTGCGATTTCCTCCTTCTAATGCATGAGTCGATGAGTTACGAATGTTCGGAGTACATGTACCCTCATCTGAACATTCATAACTTATTCACTCGTTCACATGCATCAGTTCTTCTGATGAAAATCGCACCTAAAATCGCAGTAAAAATTGCAAGTGTGAACGAGTCTATAGTCTCGTTTATACACAAAATTTAACTGAAAATTATTGGTTAAGGTTTATAAGACGGGACTTCTTTCCTGATATAAACAACTGGCTCAAAGTTGCCTTTATTTTAGCATTTGATTTTTGGATAAATGCTTGGTGGTATAAAATGGTCAATTTTAATTAACCAAATTTTGTATAAAACACAGTTCTGAAGGCGTTCGAAAATAATGCTGACGTCAGCCCTTTTGTTTTCCAAGACGCTGTAACTCAGGGGGAATTAATCATATTGGCTAAAACTTTTGGTGATCATTCGTAATAATGATATAAACAACATATAAAACTTTCAGTATATAGAGTTGTTGAACTCATTTGGTTTATTTCGGTATATTTTATTATATATTATAAGTTTTATAAAGGTTTTTTACATAACATAATACGAGACACACACACGAGGCATCAGTGTTCTCCGATCCCATGATGCTCTTCTCATAGGATGTGACGTAATATGAATAACATGAAATCATTGCGCAACACCCCCACTTGGTTTCATGAACTAAAGTTATTTACATTTTTTAACTTTACTTAACTTTACTTTTTTTAACTTTACTTAACTACTAAAGCTTCACACGTGTTAATTACATGCATGTCCACCCCCACTATCAACCTAGCCAAAAAACTAACAAACGCTAAATACATGGATTGTAACCCAAATAGGATGGGTCTGAACCTGTCCAGTTTAACTTTGGTAGCTGGTTTAGTAAGTATGTCGGCCACCATATGTTCTGTTTGACAGTAAACAATGTCTATTTTACCACTTATTAATACTTCTCGTAAGAAATGATACTTAATGTCAATATGTTTGCATCTTTGTCCACTTACCGGATTTTTACTTAGTTTACTTTTAAGTAAAAATGGATATCAAAACAGATGATAAAATACCTTAAAAGGCTATTGCCCCTTGATTATCCTCATATATTCGCGTGCATGTATGTATTTTGCTATCCATACTGTTAAGTAACTGCATCAAATATAAACTTTCCTGAGTAGTGGCTGCTAAACTTACATACTCTGCTTCATAAGTTGAAAGCGCAATTGTGGGTTGCTTCTTAGACTTCCACAATATTGGAGGACCATTCTCCGTTAAACTAAAACAGTACCCTGTTGTACTGTGTCGATCATCCAACGAAGATGCCCAGTCAGCGTCTGTATAAGCAATAAGATTAAGCTCACCATCACACTTTCTAAAACACAACTCATGCTCCATGCTGCCCTTTAAATATCTCAGTACATGTTTTGCAGTCACTAAATCTTCCAACCTGGGACATGACAATTTTTGAGATAGCTTGCTAACCACCCAACTAATATCTGGTCTGGTACATGTCATCAAGTAAATTAGACTACCTACAATCTCTCTATATCTCCTTGGGTCTACCTGTTCACTATCACTCATGCCCTCAAATCTCTGCTCGCATGGGGTTGTTCTAGGCTTACAATCAGACATACCAAATCTATCCAGTATTTTCTGAATATATCTTTTCTGATTCATTTTAATAACTCCATTTCCTTGTTTAAAGCTAATACCCAAGAAATAAGAAATTTCTCCCAAGTCCTTCATCCTGAATTTAGATTTCATGTTTTCCTTGAATTGACTGATCTTATCTGTGTTACTTGAAGCTATAATCAGATCATCAACCCATATAACTACAATTATGATATCTTCACCTGTTTGTTTTTGATAAACACAATGGTCAACTGGATTTCTAATAAATCCATCACTTATCAAGTACTCGTCTAACACCCTGTTCCAGTTCCTACCCGACTGCTTAAGACCATAAAGAGATTTCTTCAACCTGTAGACTAATTTGACACCGTTCTCTGACAACTCTTCAAAGCCCATAGGCTGCTCCATGAATATTTCATGGTCAATAGGGACATGAAGGAAAGCTGTTTTGACATCCATCTGATGAACAGTAAGATTATATTGAGCAGCAAGTTGCATAAGGATTCTGATTGATGTAATGTTGGCAGTTGGGGAAAAAGTTTCCTCATAGTCGATACCATGCACTTGATTGTACCCTTTTGCAACATATCTTGCTTTCAATGTTTCCAAACCATTTGCATCCTCCTTGATGGTATAGACCCAACTTCCCCCCACTAAATTCTTACCCTCTGGTAAGGAGGTTAATTCAAACGTGTCATTCTCCTTGAGTGCTTCCATCTCACCTTTCATGGCCTTCTCCCAACCTGAAGCTTCAGGGGACTCCATAGCTTCAGTGTACGTTTGTGGCACACCGCAAACTTTATGACAATAATCAACATTTACACTGGCTGAATTATTGACTCCTAAATATTGTGGGGCTTTTCTCTCCCTCTGAGGATAAACCTTAACCTCATGATCATCTTCAACCTCTTTACTATCTTCAACACCTAACTGTGGCCCTTCGCCTAAATCTAAGTTTTCAACAATTTCTTCAGGTTCGGGAAAATCTTTTTCCTGTCCCTGAACATCATTTGGGGAAATTTCATTTTCCTCCTTTCTACAAAGGCCTAGATCATCAATTTCAGTCTGTGTGCATTGTTCTGCACTGGTATTCTTAATAAACTTTACTAATCTGTGTTTCATGACTTTACCACACTGTGGGTGATAAACAAGGTGGACTGGGCTGTTCTTATCATAACCGACAAATACTCCTTTCATATACCTAGGGTCTAGTTTCTTATGATCATAGTTATAAATGTAACACTCTGAGCCAAACACCCACATCTTTGACAGGTCTGGTTTTCTTCCTGTCATGCTAAAATAGGGTGTACTCTTAGTCCTGTTGTTTAACACTTATTTCTAATATGAGCGGCAGTTTGGACGGCATATGGCCACAACATCTTAGGCACACCACTCTCCAACAACAAACACCGAGCCATTTCAAATAGTGTCCGCCAGTACCTTTCCGCTGTTCCGTTCTGGTGGGGAGAATTTGGACAAGAAGTTTCATGCTTAATGGCTCTTTTCCTAAGAAGATCTTGGAAATCACCATTCATAAATTCTGTGCCATTATCTGACCTCAAGCACTTTACCTGGCCATAAGGTGCACAATCGGCAAGAAACTTCTCAGTTGCTAATAGGGTGTCAGTCTTATTTCTAAGGAAATATACAAAAATGGCTCCAGAAAAATCATCAGTGAATGCAATGCAATATTTAAAACCATTTTTGGACACTGGGCTAATGGGACCTGCTAAGTCTGTATGTACCTTTTCTAGGGGTTTTGTAGCTCGACTATCTGGTGCTCTATTTCTACAATTTGCAAACTTCCCTTCTGTACATGTACCACATTCTAACTTGGACCTATCTACCTTCCCTACAACTTTCATTCCAGGGACTACATTTTCTAGTTTCATTATATCATCGAAATTGCAATGCCCTAATATTTCATGCCACTTGTAAATATTGCATGCAAGACTGACCTTATCATATGAACTACTTATATTGCTATCATCATTTAGTTGATTAACAGTGTTCAAACAATACAAGCGTTCATGTTCCTCAATAATGAAAGTTGTACCATCTTTGTAGACAAGTTCATTTTTATCTTGTGAGAACTTTACTTTGGCTCCATTTGAAGTAGCTGCTCTAACAGAAAATATATTCTGTGGATACGTTGGTATGAACAGTACGTCTTTCAGAACAGCTTTCACATATTTTCCATTTTCATCAGCTATTGATCCTTCAGCATCTCCACGTTTCAGAGCCACATTATTTCTACGTGTCCCATCAGCAAGTTCCATGTAATGCTTTGCTGGGTTAAAGTTACCATCAACACGTTTCAATACATCTTTTGTAACAATATGAGATGTAGCTCCAGTATCAACAAGCATCCCATTTGCTTTGTACTGTGACTGCTTAAGGTGACTCCCTTGCACATGAAAAGTGTACGAGTGTTCATCCCCTGGGTCACCGGACTGGCCACCAAATGTCGCTTGTTTTACTTTTGTAGCTTCTGGGTCTTTTCATTGATGTCTTCGACAGGTACTATCACTATACGTTGTTGACTTGTGGTATGAGCACCACTTGCTTGTTTCACTCTTAGTTTTGTCAGGACAATCCTTCATGATATGACCTTTGCGACCACAAGCATAACATGTGACATAATTGGATGCAGAAAACGATGGGGACTCAGTTTTCATTACTTGATCAGTCTTTGGCTTACAATTAAACTTCTCTGTTTCTTCAAAGCTTTTCAGTTGAGACTTGAACATAGCAAATGTAATTTCACTTGTACTTTGTGTAATATGGACAACAAAGGGTTTGTATGAGTCAGGTAAACCTTTTAATATCATGGCAATAACAAGCCCGTCACTAACTGTCTCTTTAGCGTTTTTCAGGGCCATAATCGATCTTTCTGCTCGTATTAGATAGTCTGTCACTGTCTCGCTTGTTCCTTTCTCGAGTGAAGTGAGCTCAGTATAAAGTGCTATTATTCTAGGTTTACCTTGGCTTGCGTAGTGGTCGCGTAAAATATTTAAGGCTTTCCTTCCATCGCCAGCGGCATCTCTCATCACTAACGATAGGCTAGTATCATCCAAAAGTTGTATTAACTCGGCGTAACTCTCTTCATTTTTCGCTTCGTCGCCTTCTTCCTCAAGTGGTGCCGACGATAGAATTGTTTTCTTCAATTTTATAGTTTGTAAATAACCGAGTAATCTCGCTTCCCAAAGCTCGTATTTCGTTTCATCTCCGTCAAATAAAAGTCTTTGCAGTTTAGCATTGCTCCTGGGCTCATAACCTGTTGAACTCATTTGGTTTATTTCGGTATATTTTATTATATATTATAAGTTTTATAAAGGTTTTTGTTTTTACATAACATAATACGAGATACACACACGAGGTATCAGTGTTCTCCGGATCCCATAATGCTCTTCTCATAGGATATGACGTAATATGAACAACATGAAAATATTGCGCAACATTGTGTTCGCACTGCTTGTTCCCAGTTTGTTGTAACAAGTTTGGAACAAGCTGTTAACAACTTGTAACAAGCTTGATGGCATTATCAGCTTTGTTACAAGACTGTGCTAACAAGTTTGTTACAGCCATGATACAACAAGGATGTTACAAGGTTGTCAACACAAGGTTGTAACAATCTTGTTAGATCAAGCATGTAACGGACTTGTCAGAACAACCTTGCAACAAGTGTGATAATTTCGACACGGTTGTTACAAGTTGTCAACAAGTTGTTCCAAACTTGTTGACGAGCCGTTGGTAGACTTGTTACAAGATGTGAGATTTTTACGTGTGTATCTTCAAATAAATTTCTTGACACCCCCACGTGACGTCACATGCAATCCGAGAATACAACGATGAATCATCGTTGTTAATTGTATTAAAACTTTGTACAACGAGTTGTCTTTGTAATTTGTATCATCATGTTTTGTGAAGGCAATGATCGTATAGCACCACCACCAGAACTCAATATCACACTCCCGACAGCGAGGGATTTTGATAGTGAACCATATGACTGTTCAAGCAATGAGATTCAGTCACAACTACCAACAGTTATTCTGCTAATAACAGCAAATTACCATAATTCAATGCTTGCTATTCACATATGAAGCATGTTCAACGAGGTTATTCTACGAAACTGGGAATGGTAGATTTTGGTCGATTTGGCAATCAGAATAACCCGAATGTGAGAGTTGCATTGATGAAATCTTGGCAGGCACTGACTGACGCTGTGATAGCTGTGAGAAATGCCGCTGAAATTTTAAACCCAAAAGTAGTCCTGTTTGTCTGGATCTGTGCAAGCATGGAACGGGCGAAGGCAAAACTTAGCGATGTCGTGATTTCTGCCAAACTGGCGACTTATGATGATAGGAAATTCAAGGCAGATGGTACAGTTGTGTATCGCGGGACTAAACCGAACGTCAGTAAAAATATGGCTCGTCTTATAATCAATGCAGCTCATGGTTGGAAACCACCGTTAAAAGACCCGAAAAGTTTAGACGTTGAAGTTCACCATGACGCTGTGATGTTAAGTGGCTCGGATTTAGTTAATAATCGTGAAAGACGACAAGAGTTACTGAATTCGTTCCCGGACGCACTTGGTCTTGAAATGGAGGGTGCAGGTAGGAACTTCCCGCATCATTCAAGCCTTCCACACCAATTAGGCTTCGAACGGTGTATCAATCTGTCAACCTGTTCAAGCAAACTCCTGAGGGGGAAGGAACTTAAAGGAAAATGACAATATAAAATTTTTATTTTCTCATTTGTAACTATATATGTAACTATATATTGACCTTTTTTACCGATTGTTCATATCTTGCTTAGTTCTTGAAATAATTTCACTTGGAGTAATGAGATGTCCGCCATCTTAGATAAATTTTTTATCTCATTAACGGTAGTTTTGGTGACGTCACAACGGAAGAAGTTATTTCGCTGACCTCAGAATGACATTTCAAAATTTTTTCTTCAAGATTGGTTTGGAAACAAACTTGGAGTAGGGTTAGGTTAGGTTAGGTTAGGGTTTCGCGTGACCCCTGTTGTGACGTGACATGCATATCTACAAAAATTGAAGATGGCGGACATTTCATTCCTTTCGATCAAAATATTTGTAGAAGTAAGCAAGATATGGAAAAAAACGGTAAAAGAGTATTATATATAGTCCTAACATTTTTCTTAAATGAGAAAAGAAAAAAATATATTGTCATTTCCTTTTAATGGGAGATTTCTAGTGTCTTTAATACTGAACAGAAATTAACTGAGATTTATAACCCAAAACATGATTGGGCTTGATGCGCTATTACTGCAAAATGGGTTAGCGTTATGCCTATGACATGATCACACGTCTACATTTTTGTGCTTAAATTTTAGGTCTATATGCTGCTGTGTATGATCTTGGCATAGAATGGGCTGTAATTAAAGCAGTGTCGGATTTTGCTGATGGAAGTAAAGAGAAAACAAAACTTTGGCAGCCATTTGCCAGCGCAATGGCGGCATCTGTTGTATATATGTTTAAATATCCTGTTGTACTAAAAGACTGGCGTCACTACCACGCATAAGGTAGTTATTCTGTTTGACCGACTCCACACGTTTCCATCGACCAGTTTCTTAAAAGTATTGCTGGTACAACAGAAGGCACGGCATATGCCAACACAATTAAATTTTGCCATCTTCATTTCTTCCTCCCGTATCTCATATTCTACTACATCCCCTAAAATCAACACGTTCACCTTTATATTCAAATGACTATCATTTGCCCTTTTCATTTTCATCCTTCTTACCACTGTCTTTCTTCATTTGTCCATTCGACCCATCCATTCTTATTTCCTATCATCCAACTTTTCTTGTCTCCCTTTATTTAATGTATTTAGGAAGTACATAATGGTCGCACAATTAAATACGTAGCTTCAGGACGAGTTCACTCATGGAATGAATCTTGGGTCTACGATGGAACAGCGAAAGATGCTGCACCTGGCTTCTTTGTCAAGAACCATTTTGAAACCGCTGATCAGGCAATTTACGCAGCAACCGAAGAGCTATTTACGCAACTGAAGGACCGCAAATTAATATAAGATTAATAACATATAAACTCGGTCTGTGTCAGCGTGCACAGCCAGAAACGCGCAAGTTGCAACAGGTCTGCTGCAGACTTGATTCAACTTGCGATTATCAAGCCGATATCAGGATGCGTTCCCATCGCTTGCTCGTGCTTGATAATATCAAGTCTGTTGCAAGTTGTCAACAGACTTGATGCAAGTTGTCGTCCACAGACTTGCTGCAAGTTGTGAACTGCAGACTTGATGCAAGTTGTGAACTGCAGACTTGCTGCAAGTTGTGAACTGCAGACTTGATGCAAGTTGTGAACTGCAAACTGGCTGCATGTTGTGAACTGCAGACTTGCTGCAAGTTGCGAACTGCATACTTGCTGCAAGTTGTGAACTGCGGACTTGCTACAAGTTGTGAACTGCAGACTTGATGCAAGTTGTGAACTGCAGACTTGGCGCAAGTTGTCAAAAAAACTGAGTGAGGAAAGCGTCTTATGAAGCCTCGTGTTCCACTATTTTGAACAAAAAACGGCCAAAACAGGTTGCCATATTTCGGTTGTAGTGTTTTGTAAAATAACAAGACTTTTATGTAACAAACTTGCGAGATAATTTTGGAGCGAAACAATTCTTATTGTAAACAATTTTCGTCAAAATTAATTGGTGTTTAAGTGCGACCGAAATATGACAACCTACTTGCATATTTTTCTTCAAAATAGTACACACAAAAGCTTCAATAAGGCGTGTTCCCTCGCTCGCAGATTTCACTTTAATATTCTTAGATTAATATTCTTAGTTAGCGTATAATATTATAAATATTCCTAGATCTCTTTAGAGACGGTGTATAGTATTTTAATATTTTCTTAACTTGTAAATATAAGCGTAATTCAGCATGAGGACCCGCACGCCTATAAATTGAATTATCTTGAAGGTCAGTGTTGGTTACCACACCATTATTAGTCGAGGTGGTAAGAGTGGTGACATGTATAATTAATTTATAGTGAAATAATTTATGCGTGCATGAAATAAAACCCCATACAGACATGATGTAGCAAATAACTAACTGAGCTAACATACAAACCAGCTCGTCATCACCAATTCATAATAATGTTAGCAGACAATGCCGCGCAAAGTTCAAATTGCGCCACAATCTGGTCTGAAGAAAGAGTGCATTCTGCCTGACAATCGTGTGAATGGATTCAGGATGGAGATCAAGATCGAACAAACTGGCAATATTTTGATGGGTGCTTATTAAAGATTGATGCGAAGTATTCTCTATCAGATAAGGTTAGGTAATAGTAAAAAAGCTGTAGGGTATCGCACCACTTAATCAGTTATTATTCGCTTTAGTATACAATATGTTAGATACGCCGGGTACCACAGCTTTCAAGCAGGGCTATCACAACCGCGAGTTGATTGTAATATATTCATTATAATATACGCACAGGACAAATAATATTTATTTACATATATATATACAGTGGCTGAATAATAATTTGCATTCCGCACTGCACTGTCATGCGATAAATGAATAATGCTAGGTTCTTTTATTATATCAGCCAGGCTGATATAATAAAAGAACCTAGCATTATTCATTTATCGCATGACAGTACAGTGCGGAATGCAAATTATCTATATATGTAAGCGCATACATATTTTCTGAGTAATTATTAGTATTTATATATATAGTGGAAACTCACGCGCCAGAAAGATGTCCCACCTTTTGCTAGCAGGCCATGAAGATGTCCCGGCATCTTTTCTTAACCAGTGGAAGCTTAAAAAAGTTCTATATTATTCTTTACATCAGGCTAACTTATAGAGTAAAGCGGTGCATGCAGCGATAGCGCTAGATTTCGGAATAATATCTAAAATACTTTTAGTGAAAACTCTTGTGTCAGAAAGATGTCCCATCTTTTGCTGGCAGGTTATGAAGATGTCCCATCTTTTCTTAACTAATGGAAGCTTAAAAGGAGTCTTATATTATTCTTTACATCACGCTACGTTAGAGTATAAGGCGGTGCAGCTAGTGCTATAGTTTTTGCAATAATATCTAGACTACTTTTAGTGAAAACTCTTGTGTCAGAAAGATGTCCCATCTTTTGCTGACAGGTTATGAAGATGTCCCATCTTTTCTTAACCAGTGGAAGCTTAAAAGGAGTCTTAGGCTATATTATTCTTTACAAGGCGCTAAGATAGAGTAAGGCGGTGCAGCTGGTGCTATAGTTTTAATATCTAGAATACTTTTAGTGAAAACTCTTGTGTCAGAAAGATGTCCCATCTTTTGCTGACAGGTTATGAAGATGTCCCATCTTTTCTTAACCAGTGGAAGCTTAAAAGGAGTCTTAGGCTATATTATTCTTTACAAGGCGCTAAGTTAGAGTAAGGCGGTGCAGCTAGTGCTATAGTTTTCGGAATAATATCTAGAATACTTTTAGTGAAAACTCTTGTGTCAGAAAGATGTCCCATCTTTTGCTGACAGGTTATGAAGATGTCCCATCTTTTCTTAACCAGTGGAAGCTTAAAAGGAGTCTTATATTATTCTTTACATCACGTTAAGTTAGCGTAAGACGGTGCAGCTAGTGCTGTGTAGTATTTGGAATGATATCTAGAATACTTTTAGTGAAAACTCTTGTGTCAGAAAGATGTCCCATCTTTTGCTGTCAGGTTATGAAGATGTCCCATTTTTTCTTAACCAGTGGAAGCTTAAAAGGAGTCTTATATTATCATTTACCCCACAACGCAGACGCGGGCGTAAATTCCGTAAAATAGCTAAGACAATGGTGTCGATGCAGCTATTGTTTTTGGAATTATATGCAGATATATATCTTGGTGAAAACGGTGAAAACGTTTGTGCCTGATTCATGTGCGCACTAGGGCCTAGGGAAAGGCGGTATAAGTGTATATATGAGATGGCTTATAAGCCATCGAAGCCGCCGCACTTTTTATACTGCCAAGATCTATAAAGACGGCAAATAGGTTTCGACGTTTCGATATGGAATTATCATGCCATACTTTGAACATAAACAAAATATAGGTTGAATATTATTCACGCTATTCTCTAAGATATCAAGAACGTTTTGTTTTAGGCTACAACACACGAGTATTATTACACGCAGCTTTTCACATTATTGGCTATAGTATAGCCTGACCATAGGAGACTTGTCAACAGTCAGCATCGTAAATATTATCCTGACATATTTGTACGCTTTTATTTTAATGCATAACAGAAAATTAACTTATTACTTGCTTGGTTTCACACTGCGTTTAAGCAACTGAACCTGGATTGATGACATCTTATAGCGGTAATTAATAATGCAATTAGCGTTGCTCGCTTCCTGAAGTTGCAAACTTTTTTTGCAGATCCCGCTGTTTTTCAAAACGTGCGGGTCGTCATGTATTGGCTGCAATGTTTTTATGAAATAAACCATCTATCTTTCTATCTACACGGTGTATCAGAAAAAGGTAGACAATTTTGAAACGGCTCTCAATTTCACAAATCTGTTCATGTCATGAAATTTTTGATAAATATAGATTGTTTGGGTACTTATAATGTAGAATAAACAAAACATTTTCGCAAAGATAAATTTTCCAGAGCATGGGGTGTCTTTTTTAGCAGCATTAAAAATAACTTGCACGCAAAATTTAAAAGGTCGAAACGCATTTTGAGGACATGGGCGAAAAAGTTGTTTGTGTTTTATTAATGGTCCATAATGTTTTTACAATAACAAAATGCAAATGAGGTAAATGCATGAATTATGCATGCGTGAAAGGCATTGATGCCAAAATATGAAAGTTCCAGCAGCTATTTGAAGGACTTAAAATTGAGCAAATTTTCTGATATTTGGACCATTAATAAAACCCATAACAATGTTCTCGCCTATAGGCCGATTTTCAGTGTTGCGTTTTTCGTACGCACGTACACGTACGTAAAACTTTGAATCTTTTTTTTTTAAATATTTTACAAATAAGTTAACAAATGCATACTAAAAATAGCAGAACACTAAATTCTTTTGCTTTATTTATTTGGTTATTTCATAAGTAACATTTAAACGGATTTAAAGTATTACTTGCGTATATGTACGTATGAAAAACGCAACAGTGGAAATCAGCCTGATGACTTAAAATGCGTTTTAACCTATTAAATTTCGCGCGCAAAAACTATTAAACTTTTGAATTTCGCGCAATAAAACTAAACTATTGCCATTTCAGAAATTCTACACATTTGGTGAATTTCGATTCCTAAAGGCCCCTTTTAGATTCGCAAATTTTTGCTGCGATTTTAAGTGGGATTTTCGTCTTCTGATGGATGTGAACGAGTGGATGAGTTATGAATGTTGAGATGAGGGTACATATACTCAGAACATTCATAACTCATCTACTCATTCACATCCATCAGAAAACCACAGAATCTAATCTTGAACTGTCTGTGCCAGTGTAGGTAGTGGCAATAATATGAACAAGCTTTCGTTGGTAGGGATGCAACTACCTGAAAAATATAAGGAGAATTTCGTTGTTTCGAGCGAAGGTTTTTGGTCTGGAGTTACTTGCCAAACTTCCGACGTAGCGCCTTCGCTTGAAACGTCGAAATTTTCCTTATATTTTTCAGGTAGTTGCATGTCTATCATGAACGAAAGCTTGTTTACAGAATCTAATCGCTCTTTAATAACCAATGAGGTCAATTTCACGTTTTTAATTCATTCAGATACAATTTAATTTTCAGATGGTAGTTTTTATAATACTTCTAAACGCTATTCTGTTATACTGGTAACATTCCCTGATATGACCACGAATTTTACGCAATGAATCAATTACTGAGCCTTCACTCAAAACGTCGAAGTTCTCCTTGTATTTTTCAGGTAGTTGTATCCCTATCAACCCAAGTTTTGTTATTATTGCCACCAGGGACGCCGGAACGATAATAAGGCAAAGGGGGCAGACGCTCACCAAGGGCACCTCTATAGAGCAAAAGTTAAAAATCTACCAGAATTTTTTTTTCATGGAAATTTTTTTTGGGCGACCCTATCCCCCCCCCCCCCGCGTCGCCAAAAAATTTTCGGTCAGTGTACCATTTTAAGGGTCAATTTTTCCGGACATACCAAAATTTTCCGTTAAGTTAAAAAAATTTTCTATATTACAAAAATTTTCTAAAATTTTTGTAAATTAAACTCATTCTTTACCAAATTCACAATTATTTTTGTTAATTTACTTTCTCTGGGCCTATAAATTACCTGAATCTCATGATTTTCCCAGAAAAAGCATCACTGGAAATGTGATTTATAACGTAATATTTTACAACTAAAAGGGCACTTCTGCCCCTCATGCCCCCCTAGCAAAAGGCAAGGGGGCAGCCGCCCCCCCCCTGCCCCCCAGTTCCGGCGTCCCTGTTTGCCACTACATACACTGGCAAAGACCGTTCAAAATAATATATGCACCCTTGCACGTCCATAACATACTTACTTTGTGAAATGAATAAATGTTTGGAGCAATGGTATTGTTTTTTATGAATCTAGAACTATGAATTGAATTTTTGGTTGCTGTTTTTGCATTATTAATATGGCATTGCTTCTGTATAGTTTACCTTGCTTGTGTGGAGCGTATGGGCTGGTTGGTCGAAACAAAAAGATCCGTCGTCCACATTTGTACCTCACAGTTAAAAGAGGAGTGAAGAGATCGTTTGCACGACGTGGACGTGAAGAGAAATGTGACGACGCTAAGGAACACTTTGAGCTGCTTCGAGAACCTGAAAGATAACCAAAAATTAAATATTTGGGTCTCCTTTTAAGTAAATTGAGATGTAAATCATCGTCTGTCTCACCGACACCTGGTGGTGGTGTATTAGCTTGCAGTAACCCCAGTTATACCAATAAAACCCTTTACGAGTACCTGAAGAAAAGGAGAAAGTTGATGTACCTCAGGTCCAGGTAACTGGGACTTTAACCATGTTTTGCGCCTCAATGGACAACATTATGCACTCGCCTGCTTTCATGTTGGTTGTGCAACAAATAAAAACCGTTTAAACGCCGCATTCAGTAAAGTAGAAGATGTTCAGAAGATGCGCAATGTACTTCCAGCTTATGAATGTTATGGAAAGAAACCAGAATATTATTTTACGGAAGGCAATACAGAGAACGACAATGAGCCCATCTTGTTTGGAGACGATGGAACGGACTGCACGTGTCTTGGTGGTTTTGACAATTATCATTTTAACGACGAATGTGACATTTTGTCTCTAAACGTTTTGGATGGCGTTTAAATTGATTGCAAAATAGCGGATGCAACTTCTCCTGATTGGGATAGTATATGGGATGAATTTTATGAGAGTGATAGTAAATAAATCGAATCGGTTTTTCGTCGGAGTTAACCCGTGGCTATATTGTTCCTTGCGATTTTAGTTACAGCCAAGAACAGGAGTCATTATTCCAGGATGCATTCGCCGTTAAGGTATGTAGTGGTGCATTCTTGGAAGGCGGTGATTCAGGTTCTCTGGTTTTCTTTCATGACAAGAATAACAGGTGTTTGCCTATGGTGTTTGCGAAGTGGATGAGCTTCTCGTACCAAAACAGCACGAGTCAGCGAGTTCTTGCTGTTTTGATGAAGACGAGTCTGAGTCTGAACAGGAAATGGAGGATGAGAATGAAAGTACATATGAGAGTTCTGAGGCTGAATGTAAGCATGAAAAAAGTTAATGTAGAGATGAATGGCAAGATAAAGATACATTGGAATGTGGAGAATGGGATATAAAAGTTGTTTTTCAGGAAGAAAGTGAGAGCGACATTTCAGAGAAGAAAATGGAGAGAGAAGAAGAAAAAGAAAGTGAGAGCGACATTTCGGAGAGGGAAATGGAGAGAGAAGAAAGAAATTTTCAAGAGGAAAGTGAAAGCGTCAGGGCCATACTTCATCTGTCTTCGATTAGATACGGCTTTAGAAAACCTAGGGCTTGAGAAAGCAGCTTGTTTTCACAATTGTGGCTGTAACTGAAAATGATGTGAATCATCTTCCATATATGTCCAATACAGCCATCGGTTGTCAGCTGGTGAAGATGGTGTCAGATGCTTTGTTTGTCAGACGCTTGTAGTGTGGTGTAGGATGGTGTCGGATGGTTCAGATGAACAGCTGTTGTCAGGTGGTGAAGATGGTGTAAGATGGTGAACATGGTTTAATGTTTAATGGGGGGGGGGGGGTGTTAATTTTTAACCTACTTGTGTAAATATGGTGTTGCCTCGTTCTTTCAAAACCAAGTATATATCAATAAAACCTACCGGACCAACGACAAAAGCGTTATGGCTAATTGTGCATATATAGTGTTGCCTCGTTCCTTCAAAATCACGTATATATCAATACTAGAAAATACATGCATGCAGAAACCCTCGCCTTGCTGACAAACAGACAAAACCATTGTATTTTCCGAACTGATGAAGTATCTGAAGTAGTTGTCATGGTAACACGATAATTTTTTAAGAATATTCTTACAAATGAAAAATCGCCTAAAAATATCACTTTTAATTACAAAATTATTAATTTCCCAACATATATATGTTAGGTATGTTATTATACGTAATATAAGCCTCAATTTAAGGTAAAATTCAACCACAAACGCTTCGCAAAACGTTTTAAAGTCACTAGTGTTCTTTATAAAACTAAACTGCCTTTTAAAATGGCTTTATCGATAAACTTTCAGTTTGCAATAAAATGACTTCAAATTCTCGCTTGCAAATAACTCTGCTTTCTTTTTTATTTAAAAAATTCAATATCATAAAAAAGGGAATCAATATTACTAAAGATACACTGAAATAATATGCTGTCTTGTTTAGCCGGTTGTTTCATATATGCAAAGGCCGTCGGGTTTTAAATTAAAACCATTATAAAATCAATATTTAAAACAAACTTACCTTCGTTAACGTCGGCTCACTAATTGTACATATATAGTGTTGCCTCGTTCTTTCAAAAACATGCTTTGTACATAGTAAACTGCAGTAGCAAACGTGTCAACGCATTACTATACAATCTTGGACAACGTCAAAAATTGTGTATTTATACGTTTCATATGTATACATGCTTATAGTCGCTTTGACATTTTAGGCATTTCCGGGCAGGACACTATAAATTATAACAGTTATAACATGCACTAGCGGGCTGTAACGCAGCCATGCTATGTCAATGACAAATACATGCATAAGCCAGCAGGGTTCTTGTTTTAATCTTGTGCGCAATTTATATAACTGAATGTAGCAATTCATTGCATTATTACCTTTTACTGCTTCAGATTCAGCCGGAAACTACAATGACAAATAGAAAACAGCAGGCATCTCAGTCTAAAGTAAAACACTAGGAAGATCATGTGCGTAATCTTTGCAGAGTTTTCAAACGAATTCAACTCCCAATTACAAAATGCAAATTTCAATATGCGGTACAAAATATGTTTCAAACTCCTCCAAAATATAATATATAAAAATGTTTGACACGTACAGTGTGGCTATATATACTGAGCACGGAACTGAACGTATACTGTATACATGCATAGACTGTAATAAGAGCCTGCAGAGTGTGGTGCGGTGCATACATAGGCTACAGCGCCTCCGATGCGCTCAATTATGCGACGACTTAAAACTATAAACAGAACAAAACGACGAATATATTTACTATCGCAAGCGAGTATAATTACATCATTTTCTAATTTACTTTAAAGCGTTAAGAACTGTCAGAAAAGACAGCAATACAGTAGCCTATATTATACTCGTTTTCAAACCGTCATAACTGCCCATTTTGTAATTTACGTCGTCAAGGACAATTATAGGGCTCTATAGATGCGTAAAGGCTTCTATGCTCAATTGTGCAAGGCATCTATAGGCCACGTATAGACGTTTTTCGTATATACTTTTAGTAACGTTGTCAAGGACAATGTGCCATTGACATTGACTAATTGATTGTACATGTTTAGCCGCCAGTGCTAATAGCGACTATTTTGAGTTAGTAACCACGAGGATTCACATCGAGTTATGATTCGAGTCACCGGAGGACTCGTTACAGAATAGATCGTTTTACTGGGATTGCTCCCAAATATAGCCATGCATTTTCGATTCAGTTTTGGTGACTGGTGTTTTACAATTATATAATCATTTATGAAATCGATATATTAAATTTCCTTAAAATATCCTGAAACCATTGGCAAATACATTTATATTTTTTATATAATTTTAATTTTCAAACCACTGTATGCATGCATGCATCGTGGACATTGTGAACTTAATAATATAACACTTGTCAAAAATCGGTCTCCCATACCCAGCTTGTTCGCAGGTGCGAGGTATTCTCCCACCTAAAAAAGTTCCATAGAATTCCACTCCTCATACAATGTCAAATTTACAAATAACGCTAAGATGATCAGATTAACATCATACAAAAATTATAATAATGAACTCTTTATATATAAAATCTACTAACCTACTGACATAATTACAGAAACCTGCACTAACACCCGTATTCTAAAAGCTCACTCATACTCAATGCATGAGTGGAGGTTCAATCTGAGCTTCTCTTGAGTGTCGTCAGCGCTGTTTTTCAATAGCTGCCGGGAATGTGAGTATAGTCACATAGTAACGGTACGACACTAACCCTCCAGCTATTCAAAAACAGCAATGACACTTGAGAGAAGCTCAGACTGAACTTCCACTCATTGAGTGTGAGTGAGCTTTTAGAATACGGGCGTAAGACTACTTTCAAAACCACGGCAACGGTACATAAAACGGTTACCAAAATTCGCCTATATTATGCAGTATATCATGCTCTTTCCAATGATGTACTGATTGCGGCACAAGCACACCAATGTCAAACGGTGGTATAAGGTGATATAATTACTTTTGTTTATAAAATTACATTGCGCAAACATCTAGGCTATATTCCGCAAGCGCTTGCCCCAAAATCTGTCTTCCACAATTGTTCCCGAACTCGACTATATATTGTATAGTATTTCATGCTTTTTCCATTGATGTA